CTTCCTGGAATGGCTCCGGCGTAGGTGCAGGTGCTGGTGAATCAACTTCTTGCTCCTGGGGTTCCTCCTCCTCATGTGGCTCTATGGACTCATACAAGCCACGAGGCCGGTAGTAGCCTTCGGTGCTGATGCGAGCGATCTTATTGGCACGAGACATCTATAGAATTAGATTTAGTCAGATTAGAAGCAATAATTTTCATAACAGAGTGAGGCAAAAGAAGCATAAAATTTAGCAAATAACAAGGGTGAGATGGAAAGCATGAAATGAGTGAAGGAAAAGAAGCTAAAACGACCATTGCTAACTAGGCTTGCGTCCAACAGTCAACACGGCTCAGATACCAATCCGTCACACCCGATTTTAAGGATAAAATGGGATGCATAATCTTATGTGCGCCTAGAGATCAATCACACATATAGGCCGACAAATTATAAATAATATCATCACAAGTGTTTATTACATCACGAATAATAAAACATAGTCTTCACATAAATGTAGCAGAAGTATAAAGAAAAATCATCTCGTGGAAGCTCCATATAATAGGGACGTCAACTGGTTGACCACAAGTCTCAAAAGGCTTCAATTCCCAAATAATGAAAATAAACAAGCATAAGTACGTGTCGTACTCAACAAGTGTAACAAGGGGTTTATGAGGCCCAAAAAGGCTTGACACAAGTTTAACAGTATTTAGCTTTTAATTGACACAATTTTAGCATAAGAGTAGCAACAAGGTGTTTCAATTCCCAAAGTAAAACACATAATCAATGTAAACATGAATAATCAATAGCATAAACGGATAATTCTTAGTGATCATCTATTCCATAAGGGTTCCAAGGCCGCTTGTGACCATGAGTACGGCTGATATACCAGTTTTACACTCTGCAGAGGTTGTACACTTTCACTGTGAGTCATGATACCTATATGCCCGGGTTAATTACTCCCAAAACACTTTCAAGGTAAGCAGGCATGGTTCACTATAAAGCCTTTCGAAGGTTCGTCTAACACGTTAGGGCCATTATATTCACTCAGCAAACAAATATAGGAACCCCCTGTCGAATGGCATAATTCCATTGTGGCTATACACATAAGAGTAGGGGCTATCCTATACCCGATTCGTCAAGCCATTCTTACGCCAATAAAGGTAACCTCTAACAAGCTAGAAAAGGTCCTCATACTGAGCTAAAGCCAGAGCCATATAGCCCTCACAGCTGTACTGTAAGTCCCGAATGTTCGCTTACAGATAAGTCCTTAGGGAGAGAAATCTGAAGCATTTAGAAAGTACCTAAACACTCCAGCCCCTGTTTCCATGTTGCTAAAAAGGTCATGTTTTAATGTTTATTGCATATACCATTAGTCAAGTTACAATATCATGGTTTAATTGAGCACTAGCAAAGCTACCCAATGCATATCCCATAAGAGACAAAGTATAAGTTCAATTCTAGGGAATCCCTATCAAGGTGACACATGCAACATGAATTAAATGTATTAAAGTTGATCGGAAACAAGGATAATCCCATGCTATACTTGCCTTGAACAAAGCGCTCCTGCTGATCCTGCTCGTCAAAGTAATACTCTGATTCACCCACGAATTGCTCACCGTCTATACTTGATAATCATAGCAACATACAAGCATCCAGAAGCAATCATGCATAGCAAATAAAAGCTATAGATTAGAACAGTACAACAATCAACATAAAACAAGATGAAAAGTTTGTAAAACGAATCTATGTCTCACTACGAACACACAGACACGAAGATCACAAAAATCGGAGCTAAAACGAAGAAGTTATGAATTAAACAAGATTTCCTTTAGTAAAATAATAGATTAAATCTAACCTTGAATTTTAAAAGTTGAAAACCCACTTAATAGTAGTATGAACATGTAAATTATGGAATTACGAACCTAACGCAAGTTGAACGGATCAAATCGGAGTTAAAACGAAGATTTTATGGCCTATAGAAGGTAGTGGCAGTTCTGTAAATAGTGGAAACTTGATTTTCAAATTTAAAATAATCAAAATATGATTTTAAACCGAACCAGGGACTGCGGCCACAATTTGAAGAAAAGACAGGGTCTCTTTAACAAATGTTCTGGGACGGCGGGTTAAGATCTAAATAGTTATAAGGACCTTTTTGCAAAAGTGACCGACGAAGGGGTGTCGGGCAATACCGGCCGTCGGATTAGATCGGGCGGGGGAGAGAGAGAACTGACCGGCCGGAACAGGGCCGGCGCGGCGGTCCTCCATGGACGGCGACGAGAAACTCGCCGGCGTTGTCGGTTTAGGGCCTACGGGCCACCGTTTAACGAACCAAATGCACGAGGAGAAAGAGAGGACGATAGCGGACTCACCGAAAGGCTTTTCGCGAACAAAGGCGGGACTGCGGTGGCGTGGGGCTCAACGGAGCGGATGGCGACGGCGGCGACTCGAGCTGCTAGGGTTACACGGCGGTTGGAGCAAAAGCGAGGGTGGCGCTGGCTCTAGGACGGGGTAGGGAGGCGGCGCGGGCTTAGGCTACTATTTATGGGTGGAGTTGGCTTGCGGCTCACGTCAAGCGCGGCGTAGCGGAGGTGGAGTCGACAGCGGCGGTGGTGGTCTCCAGCTCAGACACGAGCGGGAGAAAGAAGGTGACCCCGACCAGGCAGGCCCACCTGTCGGCGAGAGAAAGGATAGAAGGGTGCGTGTAACGCGACTGGCTGGGCCGCGGGACGCGGAAGAGAGAGCTGGGCCGCGCTGAGGATGCAAGGGAAGCGGGCGACTTGGCCTGGGCCAGTAGGCCGAATAATGAAGGGAAGAGAGTTTTCCTTTTCTTTTTTCCTTTCTAATTTTCCAACACAATTTTAAAATGTAAATTCAAATCAATTTAAAATCTGAGTTCAAACCACACAATACAAAAATTAATATGCAGCAGCATGTATGCACATACATGTATGTAGACCTATATTTGATTTTAATTTTAGCAAAGTTATTATTTTTCTAAATTTCAATGCTCACAAAATACGTAATTAAATCATTTTTTCCTATTTCAAAACCATGCAAATTTTAGGGTGTTACACGCTAGTAGGAAGCTTCTAATTTGAAACACTAAAACACTGAATTATTTTTATGGAGCGTTTACTACACATTTGTTACAAGATGCTATTAGGTACATATACCGATGAGCAAATTCATTTCATGATGCCAAAAATATTGAGTACTTTAGGAATTGGTAATTTTGACTGACTTTTTTTCTTGACGAATGATTTTGAGTAATGAATTTGATTTTGCAAGCCTTCTGTGTTCATTGCAACGTACTCGAAATGATAGGCAATAAGGCACACGGAGAGATGACACTGAGACTGGCCTGTTTGGGACTGCTTCATCAACTTCTGCTCTACCAACTCCACTGTGTAGTACCTCCATAAATACGTGGAGTTTCTAGCTAGAGCACCTTTTTAAGATGATCTCACAACTCCACTTTTTTCTTGAGCAGAATTTGTTGAGCTACGTTTGTTCGGCTGAAAATGTGGAGCAAAGCTGAACAACATAGAGCAGAGTAGTCCCAAACATGCCCTAAAGGCTCCATTATTGGACTCTGGGTGTTGTCTCTATCACTTGGGGCGCAGGGGACCAATGCCCTTGACGACCAGGGCCAGTTTGTTTCCATGGAAATGTTGGCTGAATTAGAAAATAATATCTGAATGTTTCAGGTCAGTCAATGAAGTCCCTCTGCCTTTAGCTATTGTTGACCGACATACTTGGTTCATCTTGTTGTTTTGTTGTGTGGACAGATGTGTTTTCTTCGGTTTTTGGAAAAAAAAAGGATTTTTGTATCACATCACACGTTGTTGATCACTCAACGCGCCTTTTAACTACAGGTCGTCGATCGTTTAGCCAGGAACTGCCCACAACGTACGCCACAAAAGACTACGACACTACCGGACGACACACAAGGCCATGTATTTCCTAGACGTGTTGACTAGAGAGAAGGACGTGCATGTGCCCCCAAGCCAAAGAGACAATTAAGCTACTCCTCACCACCACCTCCGTTCGTTATAAGTCCATATGTACGTTCATAGCTAGTTCACAACACATGATGCATGCCTATATATCAGTAGCCGTTGCCATATATTGTGGGTATGTGTCCGCGAAATTCCACAGGTGACAGACAAAGAACTTAACCATTTCTATGGAACGTAATCAAGAACAGGCCGGCCTGGCATATATATGAAGCTCAAGCTTCAGCTATACATCAGGCCTGGGTTCGTTTCTTTTACGCGTGTGGACGTATTTGCTTTGCGTTTTGTATCACATCACACGTTGTTGATCACTCAAGACGCCTGTAGCGTTATCTATTCACTTCTATATCTCAGGTGCCTGCAGAATGTTTGTCGTTGTTCAGGTAATTAATTAACATGTAATCTTGTCATTTTCCGAAAAAAATCTATAAATTCAGGCATCTGAAATATATATAATAACTCCCATACATACATACACACATATATATATATATATATATATTCAGTATTCAGTAGCTAGCTACAAAATAAGTTATTTTGTAGCCACCTTCATTTATGATAATTTTATATACTAATTTACGATAGTTGGATTACTATAACACACGAAGATATTTACCATAACATTATAGTAAACCACTTAGTATGGAGTTATTATAATCTCGTAAATTAACATAGTAATTATCGTAACTCAAAGTGACTATAGAATAAGTTATTTTGTAGCGAGCTAGAGTAGTAGTGTTATATATATGCTATTGAGAGCTTAGGGCTTCCAATAGCTACAGGAAGCCCCAGCCCAAACACCAGTTGATCCGGCCAAAATAGCTAGTCACCCAGCAACCTGCCCCGGCCCATCTCGGCCCACCTAGCCGCGCCGGCCCATCATCATCCCGGCCCATCCCATCAGAGTATATAAATTGGGCACCCCCAAACCCTAATCACAGGACGCCCCCACCCAGCCGCCAGCCCGCCACCCGGCCATCCACCCCCACCCACCCCGGCCGTCACCTAGCAACCCGCCCCGGCCGCCGGCCGCCCTCCCCACCCATAGCGATGGTCGTCGGCCCCCTTCCCTGTCTCTGCGCTCCCTGGATATGACGACGTGGAGGCGTCGGCCTCCCCTCTCCTGAACACGACGCACAACGAGATGACGGCGGCGGGACACAAGCGGCGGCGCTGCACCTCCCCTCGAGCGCGACCCCGCCGCCCTGCAGCGCCGCGGCTGCGCCCTCCTCAACCATAGTGACACCCCCCACCCCCATCCCCGGCGCCTCCCCACCACCTCCGGCGGCCTCCCCACCATCCACGGCTAGATCCATGGAGGCGGCGGTGGCCCATCCCCAACCGCGGCGGCTCCCTCCCTACCATGGTGAGATCCATGGAGGAGGCGGCGGCCCATCCCCCACCTCGACGACATCCATGGAGGCGGTGACTGAGCTCCCCACCATCCACCGGTGAGATCCATGGAGGCAACGGTGGCCCATCCCTCCACCCCGGCGACTCCCTCCCATCCCAGTCGGGGATTGAGCGTGCGGCGGCGCAAGCCAGGGGCGCGCGGGCCGTAGGGGCGCAGGGGAGCGGCGGCCCGACCCGCAGGCACGACGTCCCCTTGCAGCGGCGCGGACCCACTCCTCCGACTGGCGACGCACCGTCCAGCGCTGCGTGCCCTAGCTCTCCTCTCCACGCGACGAGCAGCGAGGCCATCGGGTCCGGAGGCGGCGACGGGCTCACGGGTCCGGGGATGGCTCACGTCCGCAGCCGGCTACATGCTCGGACGATGGACAACGGCGTCGCGGTGACCACGCTGACGGCGACCGCGTCGCCTCGGCTGGCTACCTGGCGGCCTGGGCGACTTCGGGACATGGCATGGCGGCCTAGGCAGCATTAGTCATCTAGGTTTTTTCTTACAAGCGTACTCTTCTCTAAAAACAAGTCGTTTTGGGTTGTTTTAAGCCAAATATTTTAAACTTTGATTATAAATAACTTCTTTTGGGTTGAGTTTGAAAATATGAAAGTGATATAAGTAGATTTATCTTGAAATGTAGTTTCATAAAAGTATATATTGACTATATTTTATAAATATTTTATAGCAAAAAGTTGTAGTTAAAGTCATTTCTTAAAGACCGTGTCGATGTCTAAAACGACTTGCTTTAGAGAACCGGAGGGAGTAGGTTTTTATGCATGGTGAAACTGTGATTTCGAAGATGTTGGATGATTTCTATGCTTAGTTGCATAGGGTTCCACACAAGTTGAATTCATCTTCATTGTTTTGTTTGTTGATTTTGTTATCCTATACTTGTGTGTATAAGTTTTTATACATGGCTAAACTAGGTATACATTGTTGGTATACAATTATATATATTGTTGATTCATAATTCTATATATTATTAGAGTAGTTTCTTTGCGGTTTTTATACGGTAACAAAAATAATTTTTATTTACCTAACTACTAATTTCTATGTAATGTCGGCGTCAAAAACATTTATGCGCATCTTGATTACCTATTCTATGAATCCGATCATTCATCACATGCTATTTTTCAAATTTCAAATTTTAGAGAAAATGGCATCGTCTTCATGTTTTACGTGTGCAGTCTCCATGTTCTATGCATTGTCCTCATGTTAATTATACACCCCTATAGTGGGAAGCATGATGTTGGTGGAGGTAATCACGGTTGTCTCAGGTGGAATCTCCATCTAGTGGAGAGATTTTACGCAGTCACAAAATTAATTTTTATTCATCGAACCACTAATTTCTATGCAACGTCGGCACAAAAACTTTTTTAGTGATTCCATGCAACCAAGCGGCCATCAGGTGCCATGATTCAAAATTCAAATTTTGAAGAAGACGAAATCATCCGCATGTTTTACGCTTACGGTCTCCATGTTCTATGCATTGTTCCCATGTTAATTATACACCACCATAGTAGGAAGCATGATGTTGGTGGAGGCCATTATAGTTGTGTGAGGTTGAATGTCCATCTCACGGAGAGGATTTTAGGCAGTAACAAAATTAATTTTTATTTATCCAACCACTAATTTCTATGTAACATCGGCATCAAAAACTTTTCTGCGCATCTCAGCCATTAATTCTATGCATCCATTCGGCCATCACGTACCATGATTCAAATTTCAAATTTTGGAGAAAACGAGATTGTCTCCATGTTTTATGCATTGTTCTCATATTAATTATACACCCCCATAGTGGGAAGCATAATGTTGGTGGAGGCAATCACTGTTGTGTAAGGTGGAATGTCCATCTCACGGAGAGGGTTTATGCGGTAACAAAATTAATTTTTATTCGTTCAACTACTAATTTCTATGCAATGTCGGCGCAAAATATTTTTTTGCGCATCTTGACCATTGTTTCTATGCATTCAATCGGCCATCATGTGCCATGATTCAAAATTTAAATTTATGATTTTTTTTAAAAAAAATATTCACAACGGATCTTGAATCATGCACAAAAATGTCATGAGTTCAATGGTGAAAACTATTTTTGAGTCGGATGCTTCGTTGAGGAATTATAAAGAAAAAACGAAAGAGATTAGATTGGATATTTGCATCATGCGTTAGCTTTGTCAGGTTGTGTCAGGTGGAACGTCGAGCTCGCGGAGAGGTTTCTATGCGGCAACGAATTAATTTTCATTCATCCAACGTCTAATTTTTATGCAACGTCGCGGCAAAAACATTTATGCGCAGCTTGACCTAGGATTTTATGCGTCCGATCTGCTGGGTCTATAGTGGCCTCCCATCTGAGCGAGCGTCAGCACCGCGGACCAGAATGGTTGGGCAGACTAGGGGGGCTGGCTGAGGCTCTCCATTAGCTATTTGGAGCCCCGGGCTCCCAATATCCCAGCCCTATATATATATGGAAAAAAATTTCCTACTCGCTAGGAGTAGTTACTTCCTGCTCTTAATTACACACTGACACACACATATACACCCGTGGAATGTTAGCGGGTTTAAAAATGCAGACTGTTAGTCGATATATATAGAAAGATCCACAAGCATCTCGGGCTAGAGCCCCACCCTGACGACGATCTCATGAGCCACCGCCGTCCTCTTCCCTTCCTCCTCTCTTCCACGGCCCTGCCGGAGATGTGGAGCGCCGCCATCGCCCGGTGGGCACACCTGCCATGAGTGAGCCACCGTCGTCGAGCTCTGTCCCCGCCGAAAGCGAGTTTCGTCGAAATCAGGCGCCATCTCGGCGCTCACCCCACCGAACCACGGCGGGCGGCCCCGACCTCCTGGGCTATTCGTGACGGCCCTCCCCACGCGCCGCGGCACCGCCAGCCCATGCGGTAGGGCGCCCTGGCAGCAAGAAGGGGCTCAACCCACACGGCGCCCCACGACAGCTTCCAGATCCAGGTTAGTTGATCCGGCGGCACTCCGCTAGCCTTGTGGACCCGGCGGCACTCGCTCCACAACCGCGATCGGCGACGGTTGAGGAGCATGCATCTGGCCGGTGACGGCGCCCGTCTCCCATGGTGCCTCTCTCGATCCAGATCTAGGCATCGGTTATCCTTTTCTTTTCTCGCTATGCCTCCTTGAATGGATGCCTCATTTTTTTATTCTTGAGTCCTCGCATCTGATGGATTCAGATTCCATTTGGATATTTTAGCATTGATTTTTTTCCACCATAGGTTTCAGATCGGACTTCAATGTGAGACTACCGATCATTAGAGTTTCCATCCGCGTGAAGCTGCTCTAATCGGCATCCGCTGCCCGCCGTCGTCATGGGATTTGGTTCGTGCAATCCTTCCCGCATGAGTTGTTGCTCCACCGGTGGCTCCATGCGGGATACGGTGCAGGCATAGGCAGTGAAGGCTGATTCAATTATCTCTGAATTTTTAGTACTTCCGATTTGATTTTGGCATGTGAGTATTACATTGGTGTAATTTTGTTGAGAAAAGTATATACGCATACTCCCTTCTCACAAAAGTATGCACATATATTTTTTTTCTCAAAATAAGTATGAATACATACTCTCGTTGTTTTGTATATCTCCATACGTGAATGTATGCACATACTCCGATCGTGTGGTTTAGTATGCAGTTGTACTTCTAAATCTTTATGTATGTTTGCAAGTATGTATAAATACTCTAATCCAAAAAGTATGTACACATACTCCATTCTTCTAAAAAAGTATGTACAGATACTCCATTCCAAAAAGTATGTATAAATACTCTATCCTAAAAATTATGTACAGATACTCCATTTTAAAAAGTACTATGTATAAATACTATATTTTAAAGGGAGTATACGTACTCAAATCTGCTGTATCGATATTTTCTCGTTGGTGGCATTCAAATGTGTCATGCATGGAGCCATCTTCCCTATTGGGTTTCTGATGTACCCGCTAGGAGGAGGGAGTAGTTACTCCTAGAAGTATAGAAAACTCACCTTATATATATATATATATATATATATATATATATATATATATATATATATATATATATATATATATATATATATATATATATATATATATAACTGTTCTATAGCTGGCCGCAGAATAAGTTATTCTGTGGCCACTTTGAGTTACGATAATTATTATACTAATTTATGAGATTTATGGTAACTCCCTCATAAGTAATTTACTATAGCATTATGGTAAGTATCATCTTGAATTATAGTAACCCATGTATCGTAAATGTGTATTGTCATTATTATAAATTGATACAAATATTATCGTAAATCAAGGTGGTCATAGAATAAATTATTCTATGACCAGCTGTAGAATAGCCTTACTATATATATATATATATATATATATATATATATATATATATATATATATATATATATATATATATATATATATATATAAAACTTATTCTATAGCCACCTTGATTTACGATAATGTTTATACCAATTTATGATAACATGAATATATATTTACGATACTCGTGTTATTACAACTCACGGTGATATTTACCATAATATTATAGTAAATCACTTAGTAAGTAGTTACTGTAATCTCGTAAATTAGAATAGTAATTACCGTAACTCAAAGTGGCTACAGAATAAGTTATTCTATGGCCAGCTGCAGAACAGTAGTTCTATATATATATATATATTCATGTTATCATAAATTGGTATAAACATTATCGTAAATCAAGGTGGCTATAGAATAAGTTATATATATATATATATATATATATATATATATATATATATATATATATATATATATATATATATATATATATATATATATATATATATATATATATATATATATATATATATATTACACACACACCCGCGGACCTGAATGGTTGGGCTGACTGGGGCATTAGCTATTTGGAGCTCCGGGCTCCCAATATCCGAGCCCTATTTATTTACTAATATTATTTACTCAGAACACAAACCGTGTGGTCTATCGTTTAGGAGTTGCCCACCCACAACGCAACAAAAGACTAAAACACCGGACGACACACGGCCGTCATGCATTTCGTAGACATGTTGACGACAACGACATGGCCTAAAGATATAATTAAAAGCTAGTCCTCCCCACCTCCGTTCGACAAAAAATAGCTAGCTTCCTCCGTTTCAAATTATAGATCGCTTTGATTTTTTTGGTACATTAAATTTACTATGTATCTAGACATACGTTATATTTAGATACATAGCAAATTAGGGACCGTTTGATTCCTCCAGCCCTACTAATAAGTTATCAATAGGCCATAGGTGGTTGGCATATATGCACCTATTAGCACCTATATATTAGTACCTATTAGCGGTCCTAAACATGCTAGTGGAACTAATAGTTAGTATCTTTGTAGCTAATAGTTAACTGGTTCATTAGCAGGTCTGTTTGGATCCACTATTATTAATTTTGTCTGTTAACTATTAGCACTAGGTCCAAACATGCCCTAAAAGTCTATATATTTCTAGTTGGGAACACATGCATGCATGTCTACCAGTAGTCTGGTGCCATACTGTGGGTAATTAAGTGTCCGCATGATTCCACCGGCGTAAGACAAATTTATCATGGAAACTGTATATATAAGCCCTATCTGGATCAAAACAAATCCAACTCGTAGTCTAGCTAACTGTGATCTCATAGGCAACTAATAACTATCTTACTAGTCGGAACAAACCAGCTAATAGCACCGAATAGTTAGCTAGCTATAACTATTAGCAGTTCATGATCCAAACATAGCCCGTGAGGCTGTCACCATAGAAAATTTCCCTAGAAAAAAAAACAATAGTATTTTCTTCATGTACACGTATGTATCTTCGTCAGCTAGCTTATTGTAGGCCTTGTTTAGATTGCAAATTTTTATAATCTGGACACTGTAGCACGTTTCGTTTGTATTTGACAAATTTTGTCCGATCATGGACTAACTAGGCTCAAAAGATTCGTCTCGTAATTTACAACCAAATTGTGTAATTAGTTATTTTTTTAACCTACATTTAATGCTCCATGCATGCGTCCAAAAATTGATGTGATGGAGAGAGAGTGAAAAAACTTGAAATTTTGAGACAATCTAAACAAGGCCGTAGTATGCAAAACTCAAGGGACCAACTGGAGTGGCGCGGAAATCCGGTGAAGCCGTACGTCCGTACGTGTGCTAGCCGCAGCTGGCCTGGGCCTTGTTTAGATTGTAAGTTTTTTCACTCTCTCTCCATCACATTAAATATTTGGACACATACATGGAGTATTAAATGTAGATAAAAAAATAACTAATTATATAGTTTGATTGTAAATTACGAGATAAATCTTTTGAGCCTAGTTAGGCCATGATTGGACAATAATTGTCAAATACAAACAAAAGTGCTACAGTGCCAAATACTGATTTCTAACCCCAGTCTAAACACACTGGAGTGCGGCCGTCCAAATCTGACAGCGCATGCAAGCGTCCAAATCTGACAGCGCATGCAAGCAACCGGTGCCATCGTTGCCTCTCTTGCAATAAGCCAACACTGTTGTTTGTGTGATGGAGAAGCCGCGCCACCAGGCGGGGCACTCACCGCTGCAGGTTCCTTGCCTGTTCGGTTGGCTGATTCGTATCGTTGCTGATTCGTTTACGTAAGAGAAAAGTACTATGGCTGGTTCATGTAAACAGTATTTTGCTGAGAAGGCTGGCCAGCCAGCCCAGCCAGCGGCTCCCAACCGATCAGGCTTCGCTAGCGGCTTCTTCTAGCTCGGCACTACACCGGACAGGCGGGGCCTGTGTTCGTGACTGACTCATCACGTACTAGTCTTCTCCACGACGACGACGACCCATACCAGTCCATGGCGACCATACAGCTACAGCTCAGTGTTCATCACAGATAGAAGAACACTTGCATGCATTTCTATGAATGACAGAACGAGTAGGAACATATATAGCTACACTACATACTGCTAGTGCGAGAGGGGCCGGGGGTGCCTAAGCTTATTGTTACTGACCACGACGGTGATGCCTTTGAAGACATCCAGCGAGGCCAGGCGCTGCCCCCTCGGCGGCCTTTGTGTCGCCGCCATCATCGTCGTTGCTGTCGGAGCCGGCGTGCTCGCCCAGTCGCCGCCAGCCTCGATGTCTCGGCGGCGGCCCTCGCCGTCATTTGCTGGGTTCGTTGCCGAGCCACAGCCGCCGTTGACGGCGCCAGCGGGGAAGTCGACGCTCTTCGCCGCTGCCATGGACGACGCTCTAGCTAGCAGCGCGAGCGAGCAATATATATAATGCAGTCGCGGAGTCGCAGTTGACTAGCTAATGATAATGCAGGGGCGAGCAGCGCCTCACACCTGTGCCGCGTATATTTATACAGGGCAGTGCGCTGCGCTGCAGCCAGGCTCTCCTGCGCTCGATCAGCTCCTCAGGAGTAAGCTGCGGGTAAAGAAATAAGGCCGGCCAGCTGACGAGCCTTTGCTGTACCGTCGCCATCTGCAAATCCGTCACGTACACGGCCATCACCAGCTAATATAATCTGTCAAGTTGACGACGTACGATTTCCACATTGAGCAATCAAGGGTTCCATGCAAAAGGGCAGCTGAATCGGCCCACCCTCGTGGGCCACACAGCCCACACTTCACTAAAAGGAAAGTGGTGATATCATTTGGTCACAGACACCTAAACAATCGTCATAGTTAACTCAGAAAAATGGTCATGGAATCCACGTCATAATTCTTCGGAGCCAAAAGAAACCATCACAATCTAGATAGAACGGTGACGTCTGTGAGGAATAGCTGTTCAATTGGTTTAGAATCAGCGTGTACGTAGTGAGGAAATGGAACGTCATGGACATGTTCCACATCAAAACTTTCATGTCAGCTTGCTAAATTTAGTGAACCGATATATATATATATATATATATATATATATATATATATATATATATATATATATATATATATATATATATATATAGAGAGAGAGAGAGAGAGAGAGAGAGAGAGAGAGAGAGAGAGAGAGAGAGCAGTTACTGCGAATGTACGTGCGATGCATACATCTAAATACCTTGGACCTGAAATTGTAAATTTTTGGCATCCAACTTTTATGAGTACCTTGATACTAGTCTGTAAATGGGTGCTGTCCATAGGCTATTTATTATTGTTTAATCTAAGAGACCAAGTTGAGAAGTGTCTCGGTCTCATCCATATATGATGAATGCTTGACACAAGAGTTGAGAGGTTTGAGGCTTACCCGGTTAAGTTCGTATTCATAATCTAGCGTTTAAGAGTATCATGATAGGCACAACATAACATAGTGTAGCAAAACTCATATGTATGCATAATCAAGAAGTTATATTAGTATGTTGCATGCTAACTTTAAAACTAACTAGGCATCTCAAGCTTCTAATGCATAACATGTACCTTTTGTTGGATTAATGTACCAAGAAAAAAACTATTTCATTTCATAAGCATGTCAAGGGAGCATTTGTGCCTAAAATGCAATTCCTATCTAACAATCTGCAATGAGTCATTACATTGATGGTTAAGAGGAATGACTAGAAAATAATTTTTTTTCTTGGTGATTACAACAGTTTACTTGAGAGTTTGCACCTAAGGAAAGTAGTACTTCTTTGGCGGTTTCCAATTACACATAAGTAAATGTGTATTTTCCTTGGCGACGTAGAATAACACTGTCACACCCAATTTTAAGGATAAAATTGAATGCACTAAACTCATGTGTGTCCATGGATCAGTCACACACACAAGCTGACAAATTATAAAAAAAGTATCATCACAGTGTTTCTTACATCATGATTAATAACATAACTTAGTCTTACACAACACAGCGGAAAAAAATAAAAGACAACTCTCTCGTGGAAGCTCCAACACAGGGACGGTCAACTGGTTGACCACAAACCTAATAGTCCTCAGGAAACTCCTCATACACGTTGTCATCTGTTACCCATCCGGGATTTTTATCCAAATATAGAAAGTAAACAAGCGTAAGTACGTCCCGTACTCAACAAGATAACATGGGGTTATGAAGCTCAAAAAGGTTGACACTGGTTTACTGCAGTTAGCACTTTTAGTAAGTCAAGATTTTATTATCAAGTATTATCAAGTTATGTTTAAGCTCCCTTTTCAACCCACATAATAATATATCAGAACCAATTGAGTCATGAAACATCATCATAGTATCATCATAGTCATCATGTATGAACAACATTATAAGTAGCCATTCATTCTGTAAGTTTTCCGAGCCACTCGTGACCGTGAGCACGGCTGTTATAACAGTCTGTAACCCTCTGCAGAGGTGGTGCACATTCACCGCGAGTCGTGATTCCCATATGCCCGGGTTAATTACTCCTATATCACTGCCAAGGTGAGCGAACAGAGTACACTATGAAGCCATTTCATAGGTTTCTCTAACAAGTTAGGGCCGCTAGGTTTCCTTAGCAGGCAGATGTAGGAACCCCCATTTCCTATGGCACATATCCATCGCGGCTATACACATAGGAACAGAGGCAGTCCTATACCCAACGTGGCAAGACCCTTTTGCGCCATAAAGGTAACCTCTAACAAGCTAGAAAATGTCCTATTACTGAGCTGAAGTCAGAGCCATATGACCCTCACGGTTGCACTATCAGTCCCAGCTTTTGCCGACAGATAAGTCCTTATGGAGGGCCAAGAGCATCATGATCGAAAGTCATTAGCTCCATCGCCCTATAATTCAGTTGTTTAAAAAAAATTTTACCTTTTCGTTCCATAGAACCATCATTCATTATGTGGATCATGTATAGTTACTTTGAGCGCTAGCAAACTACCCATATGCATATAACCCATAGGAGACAAGGAACATGATAATCAATCACTAGGGTGTCCTTACGGGTATCAAAATTAGACACATGCAAATGAGTAATTAATAAAGGTGAATAGGCATCAAGGTAGATCCCATGCTATACTTGCCTTGGTTAGCAAACTCCTGCTGGTCCTGCTGGTCGTCAAAGAATTCTGGTCTCCAACGTTCTCCTCACCGTCAGAACACGACCAACACGGCAACATACAACATTCCAGGAACATTCATGCAAAGCAAACAATTATATAATTAGAACAGTACACCAATAGTATAGAAAACAAGATAAAATGTTTATGAAAATGATCTACGTATCGCTACGATCACGTCAACGCGAAGTTCACGAAAAACGAAGCTAAAACACGAAAGTTATGATTTAAACGGGATTTCCTATAGCAATTTATTTAACTAAATCTAACCTCAAAATTTAAATGTTGCAAACAGGGTTAACAGTGGTGTTAACATGTAGAGAACTTAATTGCGAACCTAACGAAATTTGAATGGGTCAAATCGGAGCTATAACAACGATTTTATAAGCAAAATAGTGCAATGGCATTTCTGTAAATACTGAAAACGTATTTTGGACTAAAACATCATATTTTACGTTTTCAAAAGGAGAAAGCGTACTCAGGAAATGCGTTTTGGACTGCGGGTTAGGACTTAGAAAAGCTCAGGGACTCATTAGCAAAACCGACACGCGAAGGGGTATCGGCCTACGTGGGCCGTTGGATCATGGATGGGTGGTTCAGATTAGATGGGAGGGGAGAGAGAAAGAAAGTGGTGGCGGAATAAAGGCGGCTGCTGGCAATGCGCAGCCATTGCTTGCGTGGCGAGAGCAGCATGCCGCCTGATCGAGACGGGGTTACGCCCACGGTTCGATGAACCGAGACACCGGAGAGAGAGAGGAAACAAAGCGAACTCGTCTAGGCCTAGAGCGCGGCCGGAGGTTGCGGTTATGCTGGGCGGCCATGGCCGGGCAAGTAGAGCTCACGGGCGCACGCGAATAGGGCTCAAACGGCCATGAAACACGAAATTGAGCACCGGGGAAAGGAGGGAGCAAGGGGTCTCACCGCTGAGCAAAACGGGACGGAGGCGGCTCGGGACCACTGTTTCACATGTGGGGGCGGACGGCGGATCCCCAGCTGGCAAGGCTGGTTTCTCCTGCATGTGGGAACGCGAGAGGGAGCGAGAACAGCAGGGGAAGCAGCGGGCAAGGGCTTCCTTTTGTAGAGGCAGGGGCGCAGGGGAGGGGCGCTCCCACGTCTGGGAGTGGGCGCGGAACGGCGGCGGTTTCGCTTGACCGAGCACATGATTGGTTATGGGAGGGAAGGCGTGACGAGGCGAGGCCGTCAATGGCCGAGAGGGAAGGGAAGCAAGGCAAGAAGCATGCATGAGTGGGCCGGCCCAAGAGAAAAACTGGAGGAAGGAAAGGGGATAACGAGCGGGCCGGCTCGGGTAGAAAAACAGAGGGAGGGGAAAAGAGAGAGCGGGCCAGCGGTTGAGAAAAATGGAGCTGGGCCGAAAGTGGAGAAAAGAAGGGGAGGGAAAAGAATTCCTTTTCTTTTTCCAAATACATTTTTCCAATCTCATTTTCAAGTTGAATTTGAATTCAATTCAAATTCTAGTCAAAGCCAATCATTACAGAAACAAATGTGCAGCAGCATGAATGCATCAACATGTTACTAACCTTATATTTACTTTTAATTTCATAAAAAAATATTATTTCCTAAATTTGAAATGCACACATAATTGCATAACTAAATCAATTTCCTTATTCTAAAAGAATGAAATTTTTAGGGTGTTACAAACACCCAAGAAAATGTTGAATTATCTTGGCAGTTTATAATAATACTCAAGAAAATATGGAATTAATTACAATGCTGGTTTCAAATAGCACCCCAAAGAAATATGAAATTACCTTGTCGGTTTGGAAGGACTCAACAAAGTATATGCATTTTCTTGAAGGTTCTCTACCACTGCCACTCAAAAAATACGTATTCTTGGAGGTTAATTTCCTACCCACCACTCAAAGGTAATGATTTATTATTTGAGAGTTTAGTTTAGTTTCTCTAGGAAATTATTAGTTGCCAAGGATATTTCATTTTTCGGCAGTGACTCGTTGTGCAAGTTCAGAGTTGCGACCAACCAGAAGGAACGAACGAAGGTGGTGGTGACGAAGGCTATCTTCTACATACGTTCTAATCTTGTAAAGATATATCTGCAGGTTATATGACGCCTCAGTTCCGCATGAATAAATAAGTTATCATTGGTGTCGTAAGTAGCACACATCACTACACACGTTGTGTACTGCCTCAAATGGAGTGAAATAATGGATGCCAAACTATATATATAATCATTCTTTGTTAGGTACATGTTCACCAGGACAAAATCTACG